ACAATCAATTCTTTGTTTGTTTTCCCTTGGGTGCACTTTGGGTTTGGAAGATCTAGTTGGATGTTTTGGACTTGAAAGGGAGTTGGAGAAGTGTTTGGTGGTTCGATAATAGGATTTTCCCAAAGCTGATATTCCCGTGTGATTGAATTCTCCCCCTTAATGGTAGTTTTGAAAAAGTAAGGTTGATTTTCGAAAAAAGTAACATTCATGGAACGATAGAATTTTTTGTTACTGATGAGTAACACTTATATCCTTTTCGATTTGTAGGTCTCGAGAAATATGCATTTGATGGATTTGGGATCTAATTTGCTTTGATTTTGTTGGCCGGTAAGAACAAATGCAATGCATCCAAACACTTTAATGGGAATAGACAAGTCGAAAGTGAAGATTGAAACCAAGAAGGGATTAGCAAGGGCTTTAAAATTTCAGGGCTCAAGAAGGCATTCTGTTTGTAAGATATTTAGTGATAAGAACAGTCTCACCCCAAAATTGCTTAGGTACATGGGCAGCCATCATAAGGGATCTTGCAACTTCTAACAAATGTCAATTTTTTCTTTTAGCAATGCCATTCTACTGAGTATTGATATATGAGCTTTGATGAATTATACCATGCTTCATTAGATATGATCCAAGGATTGAATTGTAGTATTCTCTCCCATTGTCAGTTCTTAACACTTGGATTTTGGTTTTGAATTGAGTTTGGATCATATTGTTGAAGTTTTGAAATAGTTGACCCATTTCTGATTTTTCCTTCGTAAAGAATACCCAAGTAACCTTGGTGTGATCATCAATAAATGTGACAAACCACCTAAAACCAATAATGTTATTTACCCTAGAGGGAACTCAAATGTCACTATGTATCATTGAAAAATGATGGGATGATTTGTAAGATTGAATAGGATATATGGTACAGGTATGTTTGGATAGTTGGCAAACTTCACACTGAAAGTTGTTAGGAGTTTTATTGAATAACGAGGGAAACAACCTTTTGCAGTGCAGAAAGTTTGGATGACCTAACCGATAGTGCCATAACATGATAGTACAATCTTTATTATTACTAGAGCATGAAGCCACACAAGAGTTTTTCCGATATTGTCTTTCAGAATTATTAGCTCTTAGGATATAAAATCCTGCACACATCTTAGCATTACCGATCTTCCCCGAGTCTAAATCTTGAAATTCACACATATTTGAAAAAAATTTAGTAACACACTTAAGGTCTCTTGTACAGAATCAAGTGTTATCTCTTTGGAAATAATAACAAAACTTGTACCAGCCACTTTTAAAAGTGACCCATTAACAATTCAAACTATGAAGTTTTCATAACATGGGTTGTATTTACTAAATACAGATGCATCCCTAATCATATGGTCTAAAGCTCTTGAATCCACAATCCATAAATTTGATTTCTCTAGTTTTACACTCAAGGCACTTAGAAAATTACCTTTTTGCGTTAAAGAACTTATTCCAATAACACTAGCTCTAGAGTTAGAGATAACCTCCGACGTCGGGCTCTCCCTTCTGCTAGCTATACTAGACTCTAAATGAAAATTTTCAAAAGTTCAAATCGTGCTTTAATACCACGAAAAAATCTCTAGAATAAAACTATTTTATTCTTCTATATTTTTCTTCTTACAATACTAAAATTGCATGAAAATATATAAGTTAAAGGCTGAATATTCTCAGCCTTGAAACCCAAGATTTTCATGCATTAAAACATCTAATTAAAGGAGAAATTTACATTTTACACATAATAGGAAAATATCTAATGGATTTCGTGTAATTACCCAAATCACTCCTTATTCTAAAAATAAAAGACTTAAATAAAATAAATAAAGTCAACTAATCAAGTAATAATGAAGATTAGATTTCCACAGTAACAAACCATCTAAAGCCTGTATTATTGTTAATCCTCGATGGTCCTCAAACATCACTATGGATCATAAAGGATGAGTTGATTTGTATGGTTGACTTGGATATGAATTGTGAGTGTGTTTGAAAAACTGACAAATTTCACATTGATAAGACTTGAAACCTTTATTGAATAAATCAAGGAACAATTTTTTTAGGTACAAGAAATTTGGATGTCCTAAACAATAGAGCCATAATATGATTGTATTTTCTTTACTCTTACTAAAAGATGAAACCGAACAAGCACTTTTCCATGATCATCTCTTAGATTCCTCATCTTTAAAGAGATAGAGTCCAACACACATCCTAGCATTACCAATCTTCTTCCCTGAATCTAAGCCCTAAAATTCACACATTTTAGAAAGCAATTTAGTAACACAATTAAGATCTCTCATAATTTTACTAATAGACAAAAGGTTGCAATCTAAATTAGGGATATGAAAAACAAAGTCAAGTGTTTTAAATAATGACTGAATCTATCCTGGTTACCCGGGAGAGTGACCCATCTGCTATTCGAACTGTGAGGTTTTCAGAACACGAGCTGTATTCATCGAACCTCGATGCATCACCAATCGTGTGGTCTGATGAGCTTGAATCAACAATTCAAGATCTTGATTTTCCACTTTGCACAAGTAAAACACTGTGAGAGTTACCTTTTTTGCAACAAACATTGTGCTTACAATTGACCCAGTATTCTAAAGAGATTGCTAAACAATTTTCTGAAGGAGTTCCAACTGCTCTTACTTAACGGGCTTGATTCCGAGGATGTTGGAGTTGTCTCAATGGTGGCAAAATTTCCACAATTCCCTAGATTTCAAGTAGAACATGGTTCGTAGTCAACAAGTTTCCCATGGATTTGCCAACAATTTTTCCATGTGTATCCTGCCTTTTGACAGTGGTCACACCAAGTTCTGTTACCTTTCTTATGTTGATTTTCACCACCTTAGTAAGATTTTGGTCCTTGTGTAGCAAGGGCTAAATTTTCTATCTCCTGTGGATTGTATGATGTCCCTAGCATCACTTTCTTTCTACTCTCTTTTCGACGATCAGAGAAAACTTCTCAGATGTTAGGTAATGGCTTGATGCTAAGAATTATCCCACAAAAATCATCAAAGCTCTTGTTTAGACCAAGTATAAACTTATAAACTTGGTCCTTCTCTATTTTCCTGTATTGTTGGCTATCGTCAAGGCAATTCCTTGCTCTTTCTTCAAAGATATATAATTGTTGCCAATAACGAGTTAAGGAATTAAAATATTCCATAATAGAAGAGTCTCTTTGCCACAAGTCATCTAGAGTGTTTTTGATCTCGAATATTGCAAACGTATTGTTTACATTGGAGTACTTTTTTTTACAGCATCCCAAATCTCTTTGGTAGTTTTGTAGTACATGAAATTCTCACCAATCTCATTGATCATAGAATTGATCAACCACAACATTATCATGCTATTCTCCAACTTCCAAGTTCAATACTTCGGGTCATCCTTATGGGGTGAAACAGCCATTCCCGTAAGATAATCTTCCTTACCATTTCCATAGACAAGTAGAATCACTAATTAAGACCCTTGGATGAAGTTTTGTTCATTGAGTTTGTGACTAGTGATAGGCAAAATAAGGGGCTCAGACACAATTGTTCTGCTGGCCATGGCATAGATAGAAAGATATAAAGAAAAAAATATATATAGGTTTTGATGATTCAAGATGAACTCTCTAATACCATAAAAAAAAGTTCATAAGAATTTTATTTATGAATTCTTAAAAAACTTTCTAGAGTACAAAAGGATATATATAGCTAAAACATCAAATCTGGCAAATCCCATGAAATCCTAGAGATAATAACAAATCACCTGAAAATCCTCTAACGATAAATGGAAACTACCAAAAATTTGGTCAATGAACCAAATCCCTTTTATTTAGGAAACAATCAAAATACTAAATGAATGACAGCTAATCAAATTTGGTTAGGAATCAATTTTTCACAATTACAAAAGACAAAAGGAAACTTCTTGGAGAGAGTTTAGGCAGCAAGAAGAAAAACTTAAGAGTAACATGTAACTTGATGAAAAGAGTGACTTGACAGATCTGCTACAAAAGGAGCAACCACAATCTCAAATTTCAATGAAAAACTTTGATTTATCAGTTTGGCCAAGGATGTATACTAAAGTAACAGAAAATACTAAATTATCTTCCAGGATTGTTGCTACTTCAAACTGGCTTATCATTCCATGATATGAAGACAAAAACAAGTTTTTTGGGTCCCTTGCACATGTAACAGTTTTCTTCCTTCAGTACTACTCCATTAATCAAGTTCTCATTTCTTGTAATTAAGGTGTATGCAGGATATTACTTTGTGTTTGGATTGAGAGAATATGGAGGGGCAAAGGATTAATGATTTTGAACGGTAGAAGGTTAAAATGCTTGCTGTTTAATTTTTTTTTCTTGCTTATCGTGCTCTACTTTAGTCCAGTAAATCTTTCTATAGAATTTTGAAGCTAGTAAATTTCCCTCCTCCCTCTTGTCCCCTTAACTATTATTCTTAATCATGATTTGCTATAATCTTAATTTAATTCCTATAGGCATCCTAAATAAAAAAGATTTGAACTTGGTTAAACAAACATTTAAATGATATCCAGTCATAGACATTGAAGCATAGATAAGAATATGACAAGAGATCAAGACCTAGTACACACTTAAATTTTCCAACATTGAAGTACAGTTTTCCTTTCATTCTAGTAGGTACACCCTAAAAGTAAAATATATACATATATATATATATATATATATATACTTACAAGAGACTGAGCAAATCTCTCCATATCTTTAAGACAAAATTAAATTATTCACAGTTGTGATAAAGAAATTCCTACTGAAATCAGAGTGCGATCAAACATCTCCTGCCAAGGACCAATCACTTGCCAGCTTTTTAGAACAGAAGAGAAGAATCACTTACCAAGTTAAGTATCATAATTTTTGTAAACAAAAATAAACAGGCACAAAGAGAGGAGGGAGTAATGCAATAAAAAAGGTTTCATCACCTTCATTTCAAGAATTTACATCATTCTCAAGCTATATTGAAAGCAAAGTTAATCACCTCATTATGCCTCAATGCTTCTTTGAAGAGACTGATGCTTTCAGTTGGGCTATAGGACTCCAGTTTAACAGAAGTATCCCCATCTTCAGAAGCCCCTCTCCAAACATTAATTTGTGGTTGCATTTTCCAATTAAAATATGGATTTGGCAACATCTCATAGACTGATGGGCACTCAACCAACTACACAAAACAATAAACATAAATATATAAAGCCAAATGAAAGTGCTAAACCAAACATTGGTGTCATATTTCATGGTTTGGCTATGTGATACTAACAATTAATGTTATTTTCTAGATGCACTTTATGATATGAACAAGATGCTAAACCAGACTGTCACTTTGCTCAGAGCATGAAAAGTTGTCAACCAAAAGCCCAAAGAATATTGAAGCAGCAAGCAGATGATTTAGCAACCACAACTTAAAGAACTTCAGACAATGAAGTCAGAATCTGCAAAAGTCAGTTTGAACTACAATGTAAAAGGAAACACCCCAAGACTGCGTGCCAGGGTGCAAAAGGAACACGTGCTCATCTCAACAACAACATTTCAAGCATTATGAAGTAAAAATTTTCAACCCTATTCAAACATCCTATTTACTTTTATTTATTCCCTTAATTGTTGTTAAGATATTAAAATAATTTAGAGAAAATGCAAAAATCACACTTACAATGAAAAAGCATAGACTGCCATGAAATTGAAAAATATCTGCATTAGAAAAAATACATGCAGTTTTCAAAGACTTCTGGGCCTAATTAGAATTTTAAATATTATTCATGCTTTTCAACCTAGTCGCATTTTTAAAACATAAAAAAAAGCTCATTTATGTTTTATAAATCAATATTTAAATGCCCACTTATAATTTTAGAGAAAAACAGAAAGTCAATTACATGTTTTTGAAGAAAATCACTTCAATACTTTTTCAACATCCTTATTTAGTTATAAAATCAGTACCGACAATCACTTATAATCAAGCAAATCAGACAATAGGTGACTCGATAACTTTTTTATAGCGTACCACGAGCCAAAATAGGTACCAACTAAACCAATCCCCTCATACTATAAATTAGCTAAACGGAGTACCCAGTTCCCTTTCCCATACCATGAACCAGGATGTACCATGTTCCCAGTAACTTTGGTTGAGACCACTGCATAATCAGAAGCGAAAACATGGTAACAACATAGTATTTTGAATGGTGTTTGTGGTGCTTGTATCAGTATTTTGAATGCCACTTTTGCCTTTCTTCTCCCAACAATTCAAATTATTTATTTATTTAACCAGCAAACACCATCTTTAGCTTACCCCAAAGATTTGGCTTGCCAAAGAGCATGCTTTAGTCAAACTTTATATTGCTCTTCATATAAACAAGACTTCGGGATGGAACCACATATCTAACCCAATTTTGCCCAAAACAGCCAACATAGGACATGATTTTCTAACTTTAGCTTCTAGACAGCCATTGAACTTCTTGGAAATAGTACCTTTACTAATATACACATCCTCAACTTAATTTATTAATGCAACCAAATCACTAAGCATGCATGACAGCTAATTACCATAAATAAACAAAAGTATGCAGTTGGTTAAATTCATTGATTATCATAAATTGGTATCCACCTCCAACGTTTTTTAGATAACTTCTTTCTTGAAAATCAAATACCCATTAGTCATATTCAGGGCCAACTACTCTAAATATAACAATTACCAGTTGGTGCATCGTCCACCTTGATACAAAGAAGTAGGCTTCAAAACCTTCAACAAACTGCAATCCAGTTAAGAGAGCATCATTGACACACCCTGGGGCACCTGTTAAGCATTTTTCAGAATTCATAATGACCCATTGGATATTAAAGGTTGGATGGAAATAGAAAGGGAAAAGTTTTGAAACCGTAAAAATTGTCTTTTAAGTCATTCAAGTTGTCCAAGGATATTCCTGGATCACTGGCCCTTTTTACTAAAGATGTTTAGATACAGGTCCCTTCATATACCATCACATGAGACCAAGCAAATGAGGAAAAGGATTATCCAGCTAAACCAAACTAGTTTTTGATCAGCACTTAGTTAAGCCAAGCAAATGAACAAATTCCAACTTATAATCTTGATATAAGGGAACCCTGAATAATATTAGGCCGAACAAAAAACCACATAAAAGGATGTATGACAGAAGCTGTAGATAACAAAAATGTAATGAAGACAGGACGAAATGGAAAAAATATCAGCAGGACCTCAACTACCAATTCATGCAAGAACATTACTATGTTACACAGCCAACTTACTTCATAGATGTAAATAAAGTTTGGAAAGTTAAGCAACATGTGACAGATTTCGGAGCTCAAGTTACAGCATATCCATAGGAAAATGGCAGCATGAATTATTCATGTAGTGAAAAGTAAAAGTCTAGGAAAGAAAGATAGGTGACAACTTCTAAGAAAAGATAAAGGAAAGCTATTTAAGATTATTCAGTCAATTAAGGCACCATTAATGTAGAAAACTTAAAGAAAAATTGTCCTTATCTCTTCTTATTCTCTCTAGAATGAAGGAGTACATCTAAGTAAATAGGAACAATAAAGTTCCTTATTAGGAAACAACTTACATGAAACAGAAAACAAAAAATAATAAAAGGAAGGAGAATTATTCTATTCCGAAATAGAAACAAAGCCCTAAAAACTTGAAAATTAGGAGACTAAATCAGAAGAATAAATGATAAAAATTTTCAAAATAAATTAGGAAATCAAGCTGCACTAATGTAAGATAATCAAATATGCACTAATGTAGGAGAATCAAATTTCTACACTCCCTCTCAAGCTGGGTTATGAATATTAATCATACTCAGCTTGGATTTCAATCTGTTAAAAATGCTTCTAGGAAGAGCTTTAGTAAGAATATCTGCAATTTGTGAACTTGTAGGGATATAGGTCAGTTTGTATCTTTTCCTTTATGAAATGTCGGTCGAGCTCTATGTGCTTGGACCTACCATGATAAACAGAATTTTTGGCAATATTTATAATAGCCTTATTGTCCCAAAACAGTGTCATAGATGTCACAATCTGAACTTTTAATTCTCCAAGTCAACTCATCAGCCAAATTCCTTCACAAATACCATGGGACATTACTCCAAACTCAGCCTCAGCACTGCTCCTAGGTACAACAGCTTGCTTTTTACTTCTCCAAGTGACCAAATTGCCCCAAACATAAGTGCAATATCTAGCAGTGGACCTTCTATCTGTTACTAATCCAGCACAGTCAACATTTGTGTACACCTTGACTACCCTGTCCATTGACTTCTTAAAATATAGACCTTCACTAGGACTTTTCTTTAAGTACTGTAGGATGCGATGAACAGCCTTAAGATGCTCCTTGATTGGATTATTCATGTATCTACTCACCATCCCTACTGCAAACCCGATATCAAGTCATGTCTAGGAGAGGTAAACAAGTTTCCCAACTAGTCTTTGGTATCACCTTTTGTCCGTGAGAGAGCTTTCATTTTCACTTCCAAATTTATTAGTTGAGTCCATAGGTGTATCGGCAAGTTTGCATCCAATGATGCCGGTTTCTTTAAGTAGATCAAGTACATACTTACACTAAGACACTGATATTCCATTCTTAGACCGAGCCACTTCCATCCCAAGGAAATATTTAAGGAACCCTAAGTCCTTTATTTCAAACTCTTTTGCAAGGAGTTTCTTCAAATCATCTATTCCTTCCTTGTGGTCTCCGGTGATTATGATATCATCCATGTAAACAATAAGAATAACTCTCTTACATTAGTGAACTTAACAAACATAGTATGGTCAGATTGACATTGAAGGAATCCATACCTCTTCATTGCCTTGGTCAACCGTTCAAACCAAGCTCAATGAGATTGTTTAAGTCCATACAAAGATTTTCGAAGTTTGCACACTTTGCCCATGTTGTCTTGCCCTTCGAAACCAGGAAGAATTTCCATGTAGACATGCTCTTCCAAGTCACATTTAAGAAAGCATTCTTAATGTCAAGTTGGTGGAGAGGCCAATCCAAGTTGGCTGCTAGTGACAATAGAACTCTAATTGAATTGAGTTTGGCTACTGGAGCAAATGTCTCCTCATAGTCTATCCCATAGGATTAAGTGAACCCCTTTGCAACAAGTCTAGCTTTGAACCTCTTTATACTTCCATCTACATTATGCTTTATTGTGAAGATCCACTTACATCTAACCAAGTTTTTCCCATTGGGCAAATCTGAAATTTCCCATGTCCCATTCTTCTCTAGTGCCTTGATTTTCATTAAGAACTGCTGCCTTCCAATCTGTTCATTGAGGGCTTCCTGAATAGTTTTTGGAATTTTCACATTGTCAAGGTTAGTAGTCAAGGCTCGAAAGTTTGGATTTAACCTGTCATATGAGATGTACTTGCAGATAGGGTACCAAATGCATGATCTCACACCTTTTCTTAATGCAATAGGAATGTCAAGGTCACCAACTGACTCACAAGTTACAGTTTCAAATTCAATAGACATTATCTGTGTTAGTTTCAGGTTCTTAGAGACTCAAATCAGGTTAATTTTTAGTGCTGAGCAGTGTACAGTTGTCCACTTCTTCTTGTAGTTTCTGCTTCCTTGAGTAGACTATCAGCTCTTTTGTTTTCTCTTGCATAACCTTAGAGTTTGAAGAGTCAAGAGTTGTCTAAACTAGTTGGGTTTCGAAATCTGTATTGCTGATAGGTTAGGTAGGTTAAGAATCTGATTTTGAAGGGGCTGGTTGGGAAATTGGCAAGTCAATAGCTAAGAATTGATACTCCTGAGTAGTATTCTCCCCCTGAATATCATTCGCACTGCAGTATGAAAGATTCTCAAAAATGGTGACATCCATAAAGCTATAGAATTTTTTTGAAAGGGGTGAGTAACACCTATAGCCCTTTTGGTTTGGGGAATAACCAAGGAAGATGCATTTTAAGGCGTTGGGATCAAGCTTGTTGCGGTTTTGTTGGCTAATATAAACAAAGACAATGCAACCAAAGAGTTTGATGGGAATGGAAGAGATTAACCGAGGTTGTGGTTAGGAAGCATGGAGAGTTTGACAAGGCGTTTTAAAGCCAAGAACTCAAGAAGGCTTTCGGTTAACCAAATAAGTTGCAGTGAGGACAGCTTCTCCCCAAAAATATTTTAGGCACATTGGACGTCAACCAGAGGGATCTGATCACTTATATCAAATGTCTGTTTTTGCATTCGGCAATCCCATTTTGCTGTGGAGTGTCAACGCAAGAGTTTTGATAGATAATGTCATGATTTGTGAGGTAAGGGCCGAGAATAGAGTTGAAGTATTCCCTTCCATTGTCAGTTTTTAGGAGTTGGATTTTAGCTTGGAATTGAGTTTGTACCATGCTGTTAAAATTTTGAAAGATTTGGCTAACCTTAGATTTTTCTTTCATAAGGAGTACCTAAGTGAGTCGAGTATGATAATCAATGAATGTAACAAACCACCTAGAACCTATGATATTGTTAACTCTTGACGGTCCCCAAATGTCATTGTGAATCATTGAAAAAGGCTGAGATGATTTATAAAAAAAGCTAGAATAGGTATTTCAAGTGTGCTTGGAAAGTTAACAAATTTCACATTGAAAATCTTTAGAGATGTTATTGAATAAGGAGGGAAATAGCCTTTTTAGGAATGAATCATACTCTATAATGCCATAACATGATAAGGTCATCCTTACTGGTAACAGAGGCTAAGGCTATACAAGAATTTTATGATCTCTCAAGTGCATCATCTTGAAAAAGGTAGAACCCTACACACATCCTAACACTGCCAATAATCCTCCCTGAGCCCAATTCTTGAAATTCACACAAGTTGGGAAAAAATTTAGTGACACAACATTTATCCTTCGTAAGCTTAGATGAAAAGTAGGTTAGAGCTTAAATTAGGGACATGAAGGACAAAGTCAGGTGTTATGCCTTTTAAAACTACAATAAAACCTGTTCCCGCCACCTTTAAGAGAGAGCTATCAGCAATTTTTACAACAAAACTATCATGGCAAGGTCTATATGAGTTGAATAAGGATGCATCTCCAGTCATGTGATCTGATGCTCCTGAATCAACAATCCAAGATTGTGTATTTCCCCATTGAGCACTTAAGGCATTTAGGAAATTACCTTTTTATGCTAGTAAACTAGTTCCAAAGGTTGTAGACTTGTTTTGAAAGGTTTGTTGGAACATCACCTCTCTGTAACTTTCCTCATGCTATACCTCTGCAGATGAAAAGTTCTCACTCCTACTAGCCATAATGGAAACTCGTGTGGCTGCAATCTAATGATTCAAGCCAACTTGCTCTGATACCATGTAGAAAACTTAAAGAACAATTGTCATTTTTTCTTCTTATTCTCTCTAGAATGAAGGAGTACATCTAAATAAATAGGAATAGTGAAGTTCCTTATTAGGAAACAACTTAATTGAAACAGAAAACAAAAAATAATAAAATGAAAGAGAATTATTCTATTCTAAAATAAAAAGAAATCCCTAAAAACTTGACAATCAGAACAATTGACTAAATCAGAAGAATAAATGAGAAATATTCTTAAAATAAATTAGGAAATCAAGCTGCACTAATTTAAGAGAATCAGATCTGCACTAATGTAGGAGAATTAGATTTCTACAATCAAAAAAAAGTTATTTGATGGTGCCAGAATGAGAGAACCGTTTGAAAGGACAAAAATGAATTTAAAAAGAGTGATATTACAAGATTTCTTTAGTAAACTCAAAAAATTGGAAAATAAATAGTCTAATTAAGTATGACTTGACAAATATATGGATATTTTGAGTTCAATTCAATTACTTAAATTATATGCTGAAGATGAATTATCCAAGGGAAGCTGGCATATGCACCTACATGTTTATGTGCCCGGCACTACTTAGCATGATTGTCAATTAGAATTCATCCAAAGTTGCTAAAAAGCAGTTGAGAAAGAGAATATTAAAACATTTGTCTCTAATATGTTTAATGAAATTATGATAAAATAATTTTCCATCATTTAGAAGGCTTTATATTTCAACTCATTCATGGGATATATTCTAACAGCTTTTTTCTGCAATAGATAGTAAATTATGTAAGCTACTAAGCAAGTATAGAAAATTAACATATAAAAATTAAAACTGCATGAGCTTCCAATATTATTGCACAACATTCTACACCCTTTTTTTTAAACTCATGAGCGCTCAGAAAGGAAATTTTATATCTTAGATTTGTACTTAACCTTAACAATTGCAAACCTCTCTTAAGTAAATTTGCCACTATCTATAATCATTAAAAACCAAAACAACCACTAAATAATGGCTGACATGGAAAAGTTGTGGTTTCCACATCTCCAAGAAAGCCAACATTTTCTGAAGAATCTAAAGTAGACAAGTGCAAATTCATTTGTCAACTCATGTCTGTAATATGTGCCTATATTTGCAATAAAAAAGCGGCAAAGTGCATGTTTCTAAACTTGAATATTTCATGTGAACAAAATTACCTTGAAAAGGGCATGCAATGGTAATCCACTTATTTACATATTTGGAAAATACCTGCCAATGAACACTTAATTTATCACTTCTATCAATGAAACACTACGCAAGCAGTCCTCCCATTGAAGAAGATCAACTTCAATGGGAGTTCTTTTTTTTTTCTGCAAAGATAACATGTATATTATAATGATTGTCAAATTTCAACTAGTCACCAAGACAAACTGCGCACATCATTATGAAGTGACATGAAGCACAGCACCAACAGCCCTCCCATTGAATGTGAGATAATATTAACTTTTCTGCCTCCAGAAGCCTTGTATGCAGTTTCCAACTTAACTTTAAGACCCTCTAATAACTTGTCAATCCTGCCAACGTTTAAACATGCACCCATGAAACTGAAATCTATACAAAGCATGATCAAGGAATTTCAAGTAATTTCCAGGCATGATCACATTCTAAACACAACTAGATATAGAATCAATAATAATAACTAAAAGTGTCAACCTCAACCACCTAAGACTATGGCAGTTGAAAGTGAGTTACCTATTGCTTTGCCGGAAATCATAGCCATATCCAAACAATGTGATTCCTTTCTTATGCCCACACCCAACTAGCATATCAATCATATCATGAAAATGATACACCTCTGTCAAATGAAAAAGTTTTACCACCTGAAGGGTCAAGAGATGTGATACCAAAAATAAATAAGAGATAGAGATAGTTTGATATGAAGACAGTTACTTGAAAAGGACTAAAAAACCCAAACTAGAATGAAGACAAAACCTTTTTCATGTTATCTAACCAACAATCAAGTCTCATATGGAGATTAAACTTAAAAATTCCTACCAATCCAGCTCTGTTAGTTTCCAATGTGAACAGAAATGTGATACTTACACACAAACAGTGATCACAGCATATAAAGAAGCCAGACAAAATTATATTTATGGTTTGTCAGATGCATAAAAATAGGATCTTGCCTTAGTGCTCTCCATTGCACCAAAAAAAAGTTGCAACAAATAACCATTATATAAGATGTAACCAACTTACGAGGCCAGATCTGAAATGGGCCAAATGGCCACCAACCACCTGAAAGTTTGGAAAAAGTGCTCCTTTTTTTTTTTATTTTTTCATATCTGACAGCTTACTCACATGTAAGAAGAAATTTAAACTTGGAACCTCCTAGGACAGTAAGCCTGTTCTATGGATAAAGGTTTATGGGAAGAATAAGTCTCACACAATGATAGTGAGCAGCTATCATGTGGAAATAAGGAAGGGCATTGTCATTGATCAGATCTAGAAAATAATGGAATGGATCTACACAACTATAGACATCCTTACAACAACCAATTCATTCCATCAGTCCAGCAAGGATTCATAATGCCTCAACACCAAAACAAAATGGCAACCTGGTGATGCATCAAAAGCTGCAGAAGTTAAGCAAAGATCAACAATGTTTTGCAAATTCAGGGCATGAAGCAAGCCTAACACTGGGATTGCTAATTTTGGTGATGATATGTTAATAACGAAGAAATAGAAAGGTGAATCCCTGCTCTAAGCAGGATGTGTTACATCAAGTTTGAAAAAGACAATCAAAATGGAAAAAAGAATGTTTTATGTGCTTGCATTTCGCAGAAATGACAAGACTGAGAGAAGTATAAGTTGCCTCACAAAAGGGATCTGTGAAACAAAATGTCAATCAACAAAATCTGTATATGATCAATGCACAGATTTTGTAGACATTCAAAATTGGCCAAGAACAGAGAACAAATAGCAGGAGGGAAGAGAATACTCTTTAAAATGAACCTACACCATATCAAATTAAGTCAGGCCAACAAGGGTTACATCTTTTCTCTGTCAGAGGCTCAAACACTTCTCAATTGCCATTACTTCAGTCAATCTGGCTGGTGGAGAAAAGAATAACAACATATATGCAGGTAATCTAATGATCACTCTCTAACACAGCTTACTAGCCTGATTATCAAGAGTATACATTACACATGCATTTAGTAACAAGGACATACTCTTTTATAGAAACACATCTTACAGATTTAAACATAAAGGAGTATGAAAATAGATGACCAAGCGACTTCAAAATACAGATGGACTCAAACAACTTTCAATTAGGTGGCTAAAGATGGATTTCCAATACTAGCTGGAAAAAGCTCATGAATTTGATTCAAAAATTTGAAGATTATAAGTTGCCAGAAATTGTAGGATATACTGATGACTTTAAAGAAGCTTTTTCATTCATGTGGATCAAAAATGAATTTAGGAAGCTAGCTCTCAGCAAACTAGTGCTTTTGCAAAGCTTCATAGGATCTCAAATGTTCAGCCTCCACCCTGTTTAAAAATTCTGTGAAAGATGTTTTATAGTTTTGACCAATTAATAATCTCTAGACTGATTTTTTTTATTGTTTTAATAAAACGCAAACAAAACACTTCATTGTGCTTAAAGGATTACATTATTTAATCAAATTTCTGAGAAAGGAAATATACTGCAGAATAGCAGAATCTCTGAAGAGAAGAACTGATTTTACCAAAGAGGGATCCAAGATATCAATTGCATATAGTCCATAATCATCATCAGGGACCAAAATCTCAATGTCATCATTCAATGATTCAGTATAACCTGAAAATAACAAATGCATCAACTTTAACGCAAGTGCTTTTATGCAAAAGAAAGCTTTATGTAGACAAAACCAAATCAAAAAGAATAATAACGATAACAACAATGGTTACATTGATGCAATATTGAAAGGAGAATTTATGTCAAACGGTAAGCATACTCATAATTTCAAGCTTCCAAAAATTTCAAATTGGAATCAAGAAATTAACCATTGATATTGTACAAAAACTGCCACACCCTTACAAAAACTGCCATATCCTTAACATTATGAGAAGTGAGGGAGCAAGGAAAGATCACAAATATAGACTTTCCATTTTGAACAATCATGTCAATAAGGGCTAATAATTTATCATTAGAAATATGAACAGGTTTGTAGGTTGTCTTTAGTTGCTGGAGTTGCAGGAAGCACTCTATGAAAGAGTCATTTGAGTAGGGACATCAGCTGCTGGAGATTCTGGGGTCTTGGTCTCAATGAAAGGTCCCATTGCTTATAGAGATATAAATTCCGATTAAAAAAAAAATCCCTACAAATTTGAGAAATTATTGATATGCCCTCATGATTTCATCGATGAATCAGGTTTTTTTTCATTAATTACTTCAATAATTACAAATTTTCCCTTGCCTTTATTAAGATTTCATAACTTTAAACTGCACTGTATAGCATAAATTCAGGATTATTTTGTTGGTAAAACATCAAGTTCAGGCAATATACAAGATATAGGGAATGTAACCTAGCCTCCTAGACGTGCTTATAATAACAAGCTCAGCATTTAGATCTTCAGTTGCAAAGCTACAGAAAGCAGACTTTCAGAAATAATAACAATTTTACTATTATTATCTCTAATTGCCCGATGCAAGAAGCCAAGAAGTATTCTGATAAATATGTTCCCCATTTGTCCGCTTTCTTTCTTCCACAGACAACAATGAAAGATCTCTGTGTTGGTTAAAAAAAGCATTGCCAAAGGTTTCATGTCTAAACACTCTTATATCTCTTACACAAACTCAAATTGTCATACGACGAATAAAGATCGTTAGAAAAGGGGGGAAAACGGAGAAAAATGTCCAGACAGAATCAATTATTAAAAAAAAAATCTAGTTCAGCTAAGATTCTTATTATTTTTGCTCACTTCCTCAGTCAAACAAAAGTCAGCACAAAAATGTCATACTTAACTTTGCCCCTACAGTTTTCCGTTACAAACAACAAACTTCAAAGTTTAATTCATATCTATGCATAATCCCTTTATTATACTTCCCTCGTTTTTCCTCTCTATTCTCCCTTTCCTCCACTTTCCCAAGAACCAAACAAAACCCAAAAAGAAAGTATATTAATATCCAAAACCCACAAAGATCAGATATATCTCTAGGTAAATGACATGCATGCAAGCTCAAAATAAAACAAAGAGTACCTGTGTCAGGATTATATAGAGACCAGAGCTTCTTTTTGAACTCCAAATCAGAAAAGAGAATCCGAACCCAAACCCGGGTCTCGAATCCAAACTTCTTCCTCTTTGAATGAAGAATGGACCCTCCCATTCCGGAGACAAGCAGAACCGGATCTAGGTCCGCTCCTGTTTCATTGGAGCTCCTGGACCCGAAACATGGGCACAAACAGAGGTCTCTTAGCATCACCGCTTTTAGTTTGTTAGTTCCAAACGCGGGTTCGGGTTGTCGAGTTTGACTGAGAAGCAGTGTGAGTCGGTTGGCAGTTGGAACTTAGAATTGTGGAGTGAGAGAGTCTTTGAGAGGTTTCTACATTTTTGAAAGGAGTGCAGCGACAGTCATGATAAGACAAAAGTGGATTAGATTTTTGCATTTTTGCATTGCTTTACCCTCCGACTAAAACCAAAGCATTGATTGATCCTTATATTTGTACTTAATTCCTATTTTTTCCCCACTAATATTTTTTTCATTTGAAACCAATAATATTTTGTGCTTTTAAATTTAATAATTGGTATTTAATGGTTACCTTGTATACTAATTTATCTTTATATAATTTTGTTAATAGTTTTGTGAATTTTAAAAATATTATCTAATTATTAAAAAAAATAGTACTATGTTTATATATATATAAATATATTTCATTAAATATATTTTCATTTATAAGACAAGTTAATAAGTAGATTTAATAATTTATATATTTATATTATTTTTGTTTCATATCAAATAAATTTAAATACAAAAATTATTATATTAAATTTATATTAACTCTTCAAATACAAAATAAATTTTTTAGTTTTTTTAAACTTATATATAATTTTTATTAAAATTTTAAATTATTTTACTTTTGTATTTTTTATTATATTATTTTTATGTTGTTTTACTATGTTATCATTAATATTACTAGATTTATTGATAAGTTGGCAACGATGTGAAATGCAAAGGATTTTGATGGATGAAAAATTACAAAAGGCCAAAAGAATATATATATATATATATGTATAAAAAAAAGATAAAGATAAAGATAAATTAGCAAAAAAGGTAAGAGAAGGGAGAGACTTGCTTTTATTAATAAAACAAGAGATGAAGGGTAAAAGGGAAAAATTATCAAAAGAGAGATCCGACTCTGACTGCTAGTAGTAATTAAGAGAAAGTGACAGACGTTAACAGGTGCCACGTCTTTTACTCTCGTTTACAACTAACCGTCATAACTACAAGAATGTATCTCTGGAACAAATGAATCCCAATTTTATCCTTTTCTTTTTCGTTGGCAAGGGCGGAGAGCGGACAGTGAAAGGATTTAAGAGAAGTCAATAGGAAATGCTTGGACAATTTTGCTCTCGCCGTCTAGAACACAACAAAATGATGCCAGATTTGACTGATATATATATATATATATAAAATAATTGACCCACCAAGTGATTTAATCATACAAGTAAAGGATATGCCAATATATCCCATATTTATGCTTCCACAAACTACCTATATATTCTGTTTCTTTTTCAAGTAATTAAATTACGTGCATACTCCCCAAAGTTTAAGTCACACCATACTGTTAGCTTAGCTGATACACTCCAATGAATCACTTGTTTGATTTTGCTAAAATCATTTTCAAAATAATTAAATTGATAAACAAATCTTAATAAAATTAACATTTGTTAAAGCTATAAATAGCTTAACAGAAATTTCTTGATCAGAAATTTATTCTTAAATATAAAAGAATCAAAATGTGAAGAGTTTATATTGGAGCAGTGCAACCCCCGTACAAAGGAGTTGACTGATCATGTCTTCACGAAAAAAAAGAAGCTTCTGTCAAGAAAATAGTCTTAGGCAGTTGGATACCCAATAGAAGGTACTCAATGCCCTGCTTGGAAAAGATTTATGCTTAAGAAATGCATTAGGGCAATCGAATGGCCTTGATAAATATTTTTATTGTAAAACAGCAACAAGACAACCGAATGTTCAAATATGATAGTTGACTATCCCAATTTTTTTTTTTTAAATGTATTTTGTTTGAAGGATATTTTTATCTCACATCAAAGGTATTTAGTGGTTTACATCTCATGTCTAAGTGCATGAAAAATAAACATAATATATTGAAAGGTAAAATATATATTGTAACAATGTTGAGATAATTGAAATTGCAAAATGATTATGGTTTTTAGAACCCTTTCTATGTTATTCTAACTTTTATTTATATGTTGCTACTTATCAAGAGTATTGTAAGTATACGGATCGTAAAAATAATAAAGACTGAAAATATTTCGTATTATTATCTTTTTAGAAATTAGAAGTTCTAAATTTATGGGTAAGTACCGATTTCGACACTTCAAATATATTTAATATAACAAAAAAAAATTTAGTGAACTAATTAACCTAAATTAATCTAAATAAAATTTTCAACTATATTAAACCTAAATTACAACAAATTATAAAGAGAGTAAATACTTAAAGATTAAACCTACTAAAAATAAAACATGCTAAAAATACAAATTTTCTAAAAATAAAAAATTTAAACAACTTCATAAAATTAACAAGACATGAAAAATAATTTAAACACACTTAAACAAGACATTTAAACATGAAAGCCTAATAATTTAAATGCAGAAAATTAAACTTACAAGTAAACTAATCTAAATTCCTACATGACCTATGTGACTAATTACCACCTAAACATGCATTAAATGTAAATAAAAATGAGAACTGTTTTACATGGTTAATCTAGATCTAAAATGGAACGAAAAAACTATTGGAACCTTGTGCAAAAACCAAACAAAAATAGAAATAAAAATTTATGCAAATCAAAATACTAGAATGCATGGAAACTAAGACCCATGAACTAAGATGATAGGATAATGCAACCTTACCTAAGGAATTTGTAAAAACTATTTTACTCGCTTAAAATAGACATGAAAACAAGCCAAAAAGGTATGGGAAAGCTTTGCCTAAAACTAACCAGAAATGCTTTAAAAAAAAATACACAAGTTGGAACATAAAACATAACCTAAACTATAGATCTAGTGAGCTAAATGCAATCAAACTAATCCTAGCTACATGTAACATGACAAACTATTTTATAATCTCAAAATAGACTAAAAAATGAACAAAAAAAAGATAGGACACTCAGACAAAAAAATTGAACACAAAGTGAAGAAAAACTACTTGAAAAAATGCATGAAGAATGAGGGAAAAATGCATGAAACAACAAACCTATGTCTAAGGCATTTAATCAACCATGCAATAAACACTTAAACATAATTTAATAACATAATAGAAGCACAAAAACAATATGTAAATAGCAACAAAAATTAAAAGACAAAATATAAAAACTGGGCAGAAAAACTAAACTGCAAGAAATATAAAATGCAAGTAAATAAGCACACAAAGATCAAGCTTGTGGAGCCTTATGATGTTTCCATCAAATTAGCATCCAAAGCCATCTTTTTCAAGCTCCAAAGAGCCCAAATATCATGTAAAACTTGATAGAAAAATAAAGGAAATTAAATCTGGTCACTGGCAAAAACTAGAAATGAAAACTTGCTTAAACAAAATAAAAGAGAGCTTGGAATGTGTTTGCAACTTGAAAGAAAACTCAAACAAGCTAAAAGTTAACTAAAATCAACAATTAAAAGAGTTTGAAAATGAACTAAAAAGGAAAGAAAATGAAGTCTTAAGGGAAGGGCTAGTCAACCAGTAATTTTGCTGCCATCAGACCCCAAAGTTATCCTAAACTAAGCAAAGGAAAAAAATGAAAAGAAAAAAACTCATAAGGCTATTCCTCTTTCCTTTTTTTATAGCCAAAAGCTACAATATTTTACAACATATCCACATTCCAAAATAAGCCATCCTAGCCATTCATTCAATCATCACAGCCAAGGTAATTTTTGGATTGTTTTGAAGGCTATCTGACGTAACTACATGAGGTGAAATTTTCAGCTCAGCTCCATCCCATGTGATGCTTGCTTGGTTGATGGTTCTTCATGCCTCCACCTAGGCCTGATGTTGGCAACTTGGTCCTCTTTCAAAATGTCAAAGAAAATAGCTAAAATAGAACCATAAAAATCAAGGTTAAGATCAGCAAGTCTATTACCTTACCAGTGACATAAAAAAAGAAAAATGAAAGAAGAAAATTCTTATAAGAAATTAGAGGTTTGGTTCACCCTTTTTGTCCCCCTAAAATTTTCTATTTTCTAACTTTATTCTAGGTCTTTTCTTAGCCCACAAATGGTTTTTTGAATCATGCAAACCAACAGTCATGCTTGACTTTTATTTTTCATTGTGTTTCAATTTGTTGCTTGACTTATAATTTGTTCCATTTGCTCTCACCTTCTTTATCGATTCTTTTTGGTCAAATTTGCTTTTTTTTTCTTGCTTTTTATCCTCATCTCATCTCTAAACTCAACTTAAAGCTCCTTCAAATTAGCTTTTATAGTAGCTCTTCTCAAGTATCTTATACAAGAAAGAAAAGCTCCACATGACTTTGTTGATGGCTCATAGCTTGGGACTTCATGATCATGGCTTGGCATTTTTTTCTTCTTATTTATGGCTCCATTTTCTTAGGGAAATCAACTTGCCTCATCTCCTAAAGGCCCTTCAATTACCTTGGTAAATTTTTTACTAGATTCGGTCAATGCTTCCATGATGACACCAGATATGGGCATGGGGTTTCAATTTTTTCCACACATAAAATTTAGAGAATTTAGGTGGATAATCAAAGAAAATTAAATCAAGTTAAAATTTAACCAATTAATTACATGATAATTCTAAAAAAAATAGAATTATCACACCCTCAAACTTGACTTTTTGCTTATCTTCAAGTAAAATCAACTTATGTTATGAGTCAATTTCACTTCCTATGATCAATTAAAAATTATTTTCTTAAAAATAGTATAATGATTATAGCTTAAGATAAATCCTAAACAAAGGCTAGTTTCATTTTGTGCAACATTCATCACATATCATTACATGCCTTCTAGCTGTGAATATGCAACCATGAAATTAACATAACATAATTAAAATGCACATACATTCTATAAGTTTACCTTTTGCACCTCTTTCTACTAATGTTGGATAACACTAAACTTAAGATCATTATGTCTTTGCTTGTTCGTAATGTTAGGCTAGGGTAGTGGTAGGATAGAAAGAAATTTTTAAGTTCAAGTACCCTAATCATGCACTACAAGTTTGGGATCAATTAGAAAGCTTTTCAAGACTAGTATTACCCCTAAACTTGATCTTTTTTCTTTTTCTTTATTTTGAATACTTTTATTTCTTTATTTCTTTCTCTTTTTTTCCTTTTTCTTTCTTTTTGATTTTTTTGATTTTGTTTTTGATTTTTTTTTTCAAATTCCAAATGTGACATA